AATCGCCATGGACAAAAGATCACGGGACACCGGTCGCACTGAACTGGAAGTGACACAAAACCACAGCAGCATCCGCTCGGGCCTGCGGAGGCTCCTGGGGAATGAGCTTCCTATAAAAAGTCCCAGTGCCGTGGTCAGCCCGCAGCGTGCCGAGGAGCAGAGGTGCCCCCCTCTGCACCCGTGGCATTTACACCGATGGCATCCTTAAAAAGATGGGAGCACCTCCAAGGTGGATGGGGACGTGCACTATCTGACAAGGTGATCGCTTGACTTTTCCTAGAGGTACCAGCTTATACTGCCTGTATGAATGGAGAGGGTTATCTGTTTCATCTTGAGACAAGACATTGTTAGAAATGAGTGACACACCTCTTCAACCAGGCCTTCCTCCATGCAGGTACAAAGAGCCCATTCGTTCTCATAATTGATTCTGAGGGCTGCAGCGTGCCTCATTGAGCTGGCCCGCTCGGTCCACGCCGGGGAAGTGATTCATGCACGCTGGCGCAGCCAACTTGGGGACGAGCCTTGGACACACGGTGGTGGCATCATTTTTTAATCAGCTATCTGAGGAATATTTATCTAATCAACAAAGAGTGCTGTCAGAAGGAGACCAGAGGTGACATTAATAAGTCTATGGTTTCCTGGTACAATGACAGAGGAAGTTTAGGATAAAACCCTGCTCATTTGAGCACGCCGGCAGGCTACGGAGTATTTTTATTGCGTGTATGAAAAGCTAATCCAAAGAGTCTCAGGTTGGAGATGCACTATCAGTGTCCAGGCATTCATAAGGTATAGTAAAATAATGTTTTTTCACTTAGAGAAACAAAGTTTAAGGGATTTTCCTTTAAAAATAAATGTCCATAGAGTGGCACCAGAATGTGAACTGTGAGCTGACATTAAACATGAGACTCCCTCATGAATATCATGGTCCCTTGTGATTGCACGCGTCCGTATGAAAAGCTGTCCCTGCCAAAAATAAGATGAGCAATGATGGGGGGTTGTTAACGCTAAATGATTCCAGCTACTGGAACTTAGTAGAAAGCCATAAGCTGCACATTTTTTTTTCCTTTCCTCTCTGTCTATCTTTCAAAAGAGTGTGACTGTCTGTTAGTAATTATGGGAAGTTGGGTATATTATGCCATGCCTTGTTTGGCCACACAGACAGAGAATTCCTCGTCTGTCCTTAACAGCCACCTTGAAGAAATGATCTGTGATTAAATTTGTAGCAGTCTTCTTCGTTAGATGCTTGACCCAGGGTGCTGTCCACCCCATCTGCCAACCTGGTGACCCACTGTGGTACAAAAATAACTAAATAGCCAAACAGGGCCCTCAGTACACCTGTCCACCCTGGTATTTTGGGGTAGCAGAAGGATTGCCTCAGAATTCAGCGTGCCAGTACATCTAGTGCCCACAAGCAAGTTGCAAGGATCTGTGTTAATTTTAAGTAAAATGAACAATGCCATTATTACATTACATAGTTGTACACTTTTCATCTTCTTAATTTGGAGGTGAGTCTCTGACTTACCCTGAGTTTTTCAGTTTTGATCCCCTTAATTCTTAGAGAAGACATTCTAAGCGGTGTAATGAGGGGCTTTACCTCTCTCTTTCACCTCATTTCTCACCCATCCGTGTTTGCTTCTCCTGCCTCTCACTGTGATAGCCACGGAGCAGCCTGTGCCTAATCTCAGCTCACGTTTTCAGCGCCGGTCTGGGGACGATGTTGCCTGCTAATGGCTCCCTTTCCCCAAGCTCGCTGACCTTTCTGCTGACCCAGATTAGAGTTCAGAAAGTTCTGTTCCATTTGCAAGCTGGAGTGAGAAGAGATCAAGCTCACAGTTTTGCACCTGGCTTGGCAGTTAGTTTGCGCAGACCTGAAATGATAAGGACCTGGGATTTCATGTCCGTGGAGCTTGTATTTGAGTGCTCAAATGTTGGCGACAGTGCTGAGACATGCCACCGTTTCCACAGCTGTTTGAAGCGGGGTGAAAGCCTGTTTACGGAAGCAGCTGCTGCCTACTCACGGAGCAAAATTGTAGTATGGAAACACAGACAATGCTCACACCACGCTGCCTTTTCATCCCGTAAGATGTGAGATTTTGGTATTAAAACAGTTTTGTGGACTACAACATTCATGACAAAATCAATATGTTATTGTGTTCCTCAAAGTTTTTGTTGTTTTTTTTTTTTTTAAACTTTAATTAAAATAAAGATTGCCTGGGAAGTTCAGTTTTTCAGCTGGTCCTTATGTGGTCAAGAGGTGTCACAGCCGCTGAGGCTTGAGACCCGGGGACACCACCCACCAGCGGTGGTGATGATCATGGCACGCGGTCACGTGGTATCAGCAGCCGAGAGTGCTGTGGGTTCTGTGACACAGTGCCTCTGGCTCCCCTGGAAGTGAAACCAGGCAGCAGCAGCAGCAGCAGGCGTACCCTGAGATGTTGTCAATGATAATATGATTGTATTTTCTCGTTGAGAAGCTTCTAAACAAGGCGACTTAGAGCAATCGATGTTCCAGGAGACAAACGCACATATCAGGACCTTGATATCAGCCAGAGAATGGCCATTAGTTTAAGACGAAGGAAAAGGCATGACATTTTACACATTAAAATTGATTATTTCATCAATAGGTTAATAGAAATCCGGGCTGCAAGTTCACTTCCTGCTTATACATCCCTACAGTAATGGGAGATCAGAGTGTGAAAAATGCTAGGCATAAAGCAACCAGGGAAAGAGGTTTCCTGCACGTGAACATCGCTCCCTTCCAGAGGGGTGCCCCGCCACATGCTGCCTATTTATATGTAAATGTTTTAGAAAGAGGTAGAGAGGAATACAGCCTGCCTTCAAACTGTGGCACCACTTCTTTCTGGGACTTGTGAAATCTGAAAACTCCAGAGCCTCAGCTATCAGAAAGTTAAGTGCATATTTAATTCTGCAAACACTCTGTCATACATACCTGCAGAGCCTAGTAACATTTCGAAAAACTAGGAAAATTCCTCAGCCTGGTTTCCTTCACTAGTACATGGGATTTGTCTTGGCAGTACCGAAAGATCCCTTTGCCCGTGTGGCCTTCCTGAGACAGATCCCTAGGCAGGACCTCACAGATAGTTAGGAGACCTTGCAGATGCAGGAATGCAGGAGGCTTCTCCGCCCATGGAAAATCAAATGCATACCCATAGTTGGTGAAAGAAAGGCTTCTGTCACCAGCTGTAGGGATTATATTTCCTAATAACATATCTGTTGATGTTCAAACTATGAGGTAATTCTTGGCCTTTCAGTGAGGACAGCTTTTTAGCATTTTAAATCAAGAAACTAAGTCCCAGTTTGTTTTTTGTTCTTACAGTTACTATAAAATTTGCATCCTGAGTAGACAGTGCTCTGTTTCAGAGTTACATCTGCTCTTCTTAAAGATTTAATTTCTTGGCCACGAGAAAATCTAATCTGCACAGAGAAAGCCAGTGAGATTTGTTTTGCCAGCAGAACTCATCCCAGAGTCCTGGTCATTCCCCCCGGTCACTTTCTGGCCACTGGAACTTGGTGCAAACACAGAGCCTGAAACCAAGGTCTAAACCATAGTACTCAGGGTTGAGGATTTGGGCTGTACCCCTGCAGCAGGCAGGAAGAGTTACTGTCCTGAGTCAGGGCTATAGTGGAGCTGGAGAGCGGACCCCGGCCCAGGCATGCCGTGGGAGCGTGGAGGCTCCCCTGGCTGCCCGTGTCTGAGCATCACCAGGCCTGTGAAGTGTAAAGGGCCGTGGGCCACAAGTGACCGCTGCTTCGCTTCTCCCTTGCTCTAAACAAGTGGTTACCCACACAGCTCGATAGATGCTGCAGCTAGTTTCCCTTCCTGGATGTTCAGAGACACAGATGGCCCTGTGGTACCCTCCTGCAGGGACACGTGACTGTCACCGTTGCTGAGCCTGTCCACGTGTCTCCTGCGTGGCAGGCCCGGCCGGCCAGCCCTTCGACATGCAACTGCATCTTCAGCTGCTCGCGGGCCACTCGGTTTAACTGTGGCTCTCTGCGGTGTCTCTTGAAGGGCTGAGGGAAATCTTCGAGTTGGCCTTTTCCAGGCCACAATTGTTGGCATCCCTGAACTGATGGTTGGGAGGGTAGAGGCCAGACAGAGTGGGAAATGTGTCTCTGGAGGTTTCAGAGGGGATTCGTGTCGCCCCGGCGGGTCATTGCTGTCAGCCTTAGGGCCCAGCATCGCTCTCGGTAACTGGTGTCTCTGTCCCTGCAGAGAGCTTGTGAAAGCATTTGTTCTTTGGGCCCCTAGGAGCTCCCTTCATAGCCTGCCACACCTACAGGGGTAGAAGATAATGCCCTCTGGGACCGGGGAGACAGGTCAGCGGCACAGCACCTGCCTGGCAAGCACAAGGTCCCAAGTTTGATTCCCAGTACAAAAAAAAGAAAAAGAAAGATACCGGCCTCTACCCTTCTACCACCCCAAACTAGTCCTGGAACTCTGCTGCTGTGGAGACTCCCCAGCCTAGAGTCTGCCTGCCGAAAACCACTTCTTTTTCAACAGCTCTTGGTTTTAAAGACCCACCTTCTGCAACGTGTAGGCACGAACTGCTAATCGCCAGTCTCTCTTGATTTGACATGGTCCTCATACTCTGCCACATGAAAGAGCACATGGCTACTGGATCCTCGCGCCTTCAGAGGCGGCTACAGCCCCCAAGGAAAAGGCCAGCGTGCGCCCTGCTTTGAGTAGCCACCGTGTGCAAAGGGGGTGCATGCACTTCTCTGCCTGGGCATTTCTTTGATTTTGTGCAGGCCCGGGGCACCGCGGCCTTTCTGGGCCCCTCTGCATGGACGAAGGGGGAGTGGCAGGCCAGGCCGGGGAGGCCCACAGGTGCCCAGCAGCTTCGCGCGAACCTGCGGCTCGGAGATGACTTCATGTGCTGCTTTGACATTTCTTTTCTCCCCTTTTTCATTTGTTTTCTTTTTCCTTTTTGTTCTCTCTCCTCTCCCCCTCTCCCCTCTCTGCTGTCGGGATGCAGCCAAACGCAAAGCATGGAAACTAAACCGTGTTGGTAGCCTGCGAAATATATACAGCAGCAGCAGCACCAACACCGAAGGTAACGCCTCGCACCTCAACGCCTCCTCCCTCCTTCCTCCGCGGCAGACTCGGAAACGCGACCGCCCAGCCGCATGCTCCCCTATTGTGTTGGCGGGCTCATTCCTGTGGTCTTTCCATCTTTGTGTTTGTGTGTTTTATTTTACCATTCATGTTCCTTTCAGCTTACTTAAATTTTGACCTTTCCTTCAGTCGTAGACTAGTGATGTTTAAATTACTTCAGAAACCTATTTTCTCCTCTTTTTTCTTTTCCTTTATACATGTGGGCACTCAATGTAATATTTCCCAAGTTATTACAGTTTTTAAAAGTGTTAGTATCAGGTGTAATGATCTGTAGCCAAATACAATAGTGTGCCGTGACATTTAAGTAACAGTCTTAATTTGTTTTGCGGGAGCATTCTCCATAATGCTCGCTGCAGCTCTAATCCAGAGGCAGGCAGGCCTGGACCATTTGCATGGGCTGCTATTGCTTGTAAATTCGGTATATTGTTGTGTTTCTAAAGGTCGTCTGGTGCCAAAGTTCACAAATTGACTTGGGTTGCTTTTTTCACCGAAGACAGCCGTCATTGCTTTTGTATAATAGCAGATTGAATTTTTCCCCCACCTTCATTTGAACAACACAATTATAAATTGCCTTTTTTATGATTACAAATGTCAAGGGTCAGAATTATTTTGATGCCAGGCAAGGGAAAAACCAGCACCATCAGCCGGAGTACATGGAAGGGAGGCTGGTGTATAATATGTATGATGCAAAAGAGGTCACAATCCAGCGAGCTTGGGATAATAGGGGGAAATTTTTTTTCACTTAAGTGCGAGCCAAATGGGTCAAGTAATCGCAAGCTCATGCCCTAACACTAATTGACTTATTTGGGGATGATTATAACTGTAATATTTTTCTTAATGTCACTGTTTTCTGGGCTGTTGATTTTAGCGATTGCCAAGCGGTGGCATTAAATCTCTTGTAAATTTTAAATTGCACACTATTTCTGTAAACAAGTCCCTTCTTCACATCCCGGTCATTAACCTTTGCTGATTTATAGCACTATCCTCTTTTTCCTCCTTCCACAATTACTCCTGTCTCGCTGCTGAAAACACTGCTCTCAGCCAGGAAAAAAAAACAAAAAACTGAATTTGGAAAATAGAACTACATTTGCACAATGGCTTGTTAAAAAGCCATTGTTTAATCATAATTTTTTGTTGTTCTTGTTGTTACTCAAGGGAAAATTGTCTGTTAAGGTACCAGTGGAGCTTGGCCCATTGGTGTCTTTTTTCCAGCATTCAACAAAAAAAAAAAAAATGAGAGAGAAAAAAATAGGATTCAAGAAACAGTCCGACTTGGTGTCACTTCTGTTGCATACTGGAGGATGTTAGTGTCCTCCTCTGCTATTTCTTAAATGGTAGTCTTTCAGCCCAGGGTGCATAGCATTTCTCTTCCCCTGTCCTTATCAAACGTGTGTCTTTTGTATGCGTGTGGATTTATCACAACCAATTTGTTCATTGACTTCTAGCCTTCAAAAAAGTTGTCAGGTCTGGTTTTAAATGCCATTGAATACCAAACCGGGGAACAGTAAAGCGACTTGGGGTTGGCCCCTCAGGCCTGAGGGCAGACACCCGCACCTGAGACCAGCGGGCCGGTGTTACCGGTGGGCGCAGAACTCGATAGCACCCAGTGCCATGATTCACAAGAGTGCTGGCCCCGCAGCCTGCCTGATCAGGTAATGCACAACACCGCCTGTCACCTGCTCTGGCCTGCTCTGTGACCACTGACCAGCTTTGCTAGTTTGAGGTTCCTTGTCAGTATCAATTGTGGGGGTTCCAAAGTAAACAACAACTACATAGCCGATTCCCCCTCATACGTTCTTTCATTTTTCTCCGTCATAGTAAGTTTCTGTTCTGTGTTCAGTTACATTTATGAGTTTTCAATTAAGTGACATGATCATTCTTCGTTGTACTTTGGGTCTCTTCTAAGTTTAATATCTACACATACAATCTCATTTCATGAGCTTGTAATAGTATGTTATGGAATTCGTGTAATTATATACATTATCAAAATGCCTTTCTGACTTCCAGCATTTTGATGTGAGATGTTATCGCGTATTTACTGTCTGTGAAAGGGTCCTTTATGAACATTTGTTTGATGAGCACTCAGATTTATGTTTGCACCTGAGGCCCAGAGGCAAATCTAAAGGTACCTGTGATGAAATACAGTGCTTTTTTAAATACGCCACTTGAGTAACTTATTCAAAGGCACCCAGTAAACACCAACAGAATCAGGTTGGCACCAGCATTAAGTTCCCTATAGATCATTAGAACTTGAGTTTCAGGAATAGGGGGTTCGGAAAGGTACCCACAGGAGCTGCTTGAGTGTGGCTCAGGTGTTCAAGACCCTCCAGGGGACACAGGATCCTGAGTGACAGGGCCACAGTGTGAGGCCCATGGACCCTCTGAAGCCCTTGTTCTTCTGTGTCCACTGGGTTCTGAACTCTGGACTCCATTATCTCATTTAACTGTCACAGTCCCCTGCCAGGTAGGTATTGTGTCACAAACAGGAAGTCAGGGTCCCATAAATCCAGTGGTGTTTGCTGAACTCACTAACAACCTGGAAACAGGACCTGCACCTGGATGTCTCCATCCTGGGCCCTGCACACAGATCTCCATGGAGGGAGATGACTGGGTATCAGGAGTGGCTAGAAACAGACCAGAGTGATTAGGAAATTACACATAAAGATCAGAAAACGGTCAAGATTGAAACTTACTCCATAGCTACCCTGTGGCATTATTTCAAGCCCTCATTGTCTTTTTTTTTCTTCTTTTATTTTAAAGAGAATAAAAAAACACTAGGAAGATACAGAATTTCACTAAACAAGATGACAGGAATTCAGATTTGTAATGGTCTGTTGGAAGGAACAGTCATTGTCTTGAAAATTGAACTCTTTCTCAAGATGGGTAAAATTTAATTTCCCTCAGTAGGAATAGCCTTTTTTGCATCTCAGAAGCCTGTGAGGTGGGATGGAGGTATATTCGTGATAGGGTTCTCAGCGTAGCAGCTGCCTCTCAAGCCAAGAAGTACAAAGACCTGCCCTTCAGGTGCTTGGCGCTACACCTGGGAACACTCTGCTCTCTGGTAAATTGTTTCTGGACAAGGACCAAGAGAATGGCATAGGAAACGCAGTGCAGAGGAGAAGCCTCAGGGCAGCCCACCAGGTCAGTCGGCATCTTCCCTCCAGGGCAGGATGACGTCTGCGGAGGACTCATCCTACCTGAGCGACCAGGAGTAGGCTGCACACCAGCTGCTGGGAGTGGAGCAAATGGACCAGCTCCCCAAAGGGGGCTTGAGACCGTTTTGGTGGGAGGAAAGTACTTCCGTAGACAAAGGATGGCAGGTAAAGGGGATGACGGCCTCAGGCCCATGTCCGAGCCCCACACCCACCTCCTTCACGCAGCAGCTGAGAAGGAAGCAGCTGCTCTGAGCAAGGATGAGCAGGCCTGTCCTTCCTGTGCCCCCCACCGTCAGCCTCCTGGGCTCAGTCACGCCACACACACTCAAGGCCTGGTGTCCGAGAGACCTGCCAAGGCCAAGCACTCTCCGCACAGCTGTCCACCCCTGCCAGAGCCCCCATCCCTGGGCTGCTCCCAGAGCACATGCAGCGGGAGAATGCCCACACTCACTGCCCGCAGAGTATGCTGGGAGATGAGGAAGGTGCATTCCCAAAGAGGCCCTTCGTGCTTCAGGGATTCCATGGAGTGCAGAGCTGTCTTGGATCCTGGGGTCAGAAAAGATGTCACATCTGTCGGTGTATGAGACAAATTACCAGACATCCACGCTTTGAAGGAAGAGAGGTTCGCTTGGCTCACGGCTTCAGAGGACTCGGTCCATGATCAACATGGGAACATCCTGGCGAAAAGCACGGTGGACCAAAGCTGCTTAGTTCATGGTGGGCCACAAGCAGCGTGGGGGAACAGTACCAGAGAGAAAGGGGCCAGAGACCAGACATGGACCCTCAGGTCATGGCTCCATGGCCCCCTCAGCCATGAAGTGGGCTTTACTAATGCTCAGAGCAGCAGCCAAGCCAGTCAAGTTGACCCACAGTGGGGACTCACAGGAGCCAAGGCCACTACAGCACCCGCGTGGAGCAGTTCCCTGCATCCCGTCCTGAAGCTGTGCAGCTCCTTGAGAGAAGCTGTATCCTCCACAGTTGATAAGCAGCAACCATGGCCAGAAGGAGGGTGACTGGATTCCAGGGACATGCTTCCACACGGAGACCGGCCTGGCGTAACGCGTTCTAGACGGGAACAGAAGTCTGAACCTGGGCTACTTGGTAAAGAGCGTGCAGCAGCCACAGGATGGAGCAAGAGGAGCAAATGACTCTTCAGGGTCGGGCGGAGGGGCCAGGTGATCATCCGACAGCTGCCATCACCGCAGAGGAAGGCCCACCACCACCACCTTAGCATGCACGAGCGCTGCGCCTGCCCAGCAAAGTGGGGCTCACTTCTCCCCACGCCTGGGTGCACAAGGCAGCCCCTAAAAAGTGTGGCGCTTTCTGTCCAAGCTCTTGAGCCAGGTGGTCTTGGTGGGGCCGCACGGTTTCCCTGCTTGGGCACAGGGGAGATGGTGGCCGCTGCACGGGGCTGGGACTGGGGTCAGCAGGTTCCTACGTCTGGAAACACGTTAGAGCCCACAGGGCGCGCTCGGCACACACCCGCCGCTCCCGGTCCCTGCCTGGGGTCAGGTGCGCCCACCCCACACCCTCGGATTCCCTCCTTTTCAAAGAAAAGTCAAAGTGTCTGAGGCTCAGTTACGTACACAGCGAGGAGCAGAAACTGGAAAAGAAGTGCGGCCGCTGAGCAACATGAGTGAAGACGCAGGGCTCAGGCTCACTCTGGGCTCCCTGAGCTCACCCTCCCCGGGTGTGCTTGTCGTCTTCCAGGAATCCTCATTTGTAGAAACTTGGGGAGAGCGGGGACTTTGGTGTCAGATTTGCCTGGCTGTGGCCTCGCTCT